AATGGTCCAACAAATGGCTACTACAGTTCAACCCGAACAAATGTAAGGTAATGAAACTTGGCAGAGGAAACAGGATACCGAATGGGAGATGAAGTCCGACTTTAAACGGACAGAAAAAAATATCTAGGAGTTGATATCACACTAAACTTGTCTCCTGATAATATATAAAGAATAACAACGGAGGAGTAAGCAAAGCTGGCTAACATCAGAACTGCCTTCAGGAACCTGTGTAAGGAATCATTTAGAACCTTATATACCACATATGTAAGACCAATCCTTGAGTTTACGGCCCCAGCATTAGCTCGTATCTTGTCAAGCACAGGACTAAGCTGTAAAAGGTTCATAGGTATGCCACTAGGCTAATCCCAGAACTAAAACGCATGAGTTACGAGGAAAGGCTGCATGAAATGAACCTAACGTTGCTGGAAGATAGGAGAGCTCGGAGAGACATGATCCCTACCTACAAAATTCTCAGAGGAATTGACATGGGTAGATAAAGATAAACTGTTTAAAACGAGTGGTACGCGAACAAGGGGACACAGGTGGAAACTGAGTACCCAAATGAGCCACATAGACGTTAGAAAGAACTTTTTCAGTGTCAGAGTAGTTAACAGATGGAATGCATTAGGCAGTGATGTGGTGGAGGCAGACGCCATACACAGTTTCAAATGTAGATATGATAGAGCCCAGTAAACTCGGGAACCTGTACACCAGTTGATTGACGGTTGAGAGGCGGGACCAAAGAGCCAGTCGCTCAACCCCGTAAGCACAACTAGGTGAGTACATTCTGCTTTTCAAAATTCTTTGGATTACAATATCGGGCAACAGTTTCAGTCCTGATCCATTACGAATAATAAAGGACGTATGTATATCTATCTGACTGCAAAACGAGGATTGTCGGCATTTGATGATAAACGTTATGTATTGAACACTACACAGTCCTTGGTGTATGGACATCCCAATATTTCTCAAGCTGTTATCCATGAGGAGGAGTAGAATGATGAGAATGAGGAGGTACCTACACCAGCTGCAGCTGCTGCACGATCTGCAAGACGTGGTTGTTTGTTGTTATAGATTCAGCTACTCGGAACTTGTTCCAAGTAGCACGGGCTATGGTGAGCCCGTAACTTACCTGGCACAGGAGCGGGGCAAGTAACACGGGATATGGTGAGCCCGTAGTGGAATTACCTGGTACAGGAGCGGTGCTGCAAGACGTGGAGTCCATCCCATATTTAATATATGAGGTAAACGAGATGAATTGGCAAATAAAATGCATCCCTGTATCCTGTAATTGATGCGTGAAAAAGGCACCCCCCCCCCCCTCCCTAACCTATTATTGGTGTTGGAAAAATGTAAACCCCCTAACCCATCACTGGTGTTGGAAAAATGTAAACCCCCTAACCCATCACTGATGTTGGAAAAATGCAACCCCATAACCTATCATTGGTGTTGGAAAAAATGGAACCTCCTAACCTATCATTAGTGTTGGAAAAATGTGTCCCTGTAACCTATCATTAGGGATGGAAAAATGTACCCCATTAACCTATGTTAATTAAAAAGGTTGATGTTCTGTTCTTTGTAAAAGTAATATGTAAAAATGTTATGTTCTATGTAAAATATCATACCCATTTGTAATACAAATTATGAAATGTCTATTTTTTGTGTTTTATAAAACCCCTATGTTTAAATATGCTGCCCATATGACACTTACCTCAGTATAATCCCAATACGAGTCATAGATAGATCACCTATAACGAAAGTACAACTCGATATTTTTAATGAACCCAACAGAATAATGTTTGCAGGATTTTCAAATGGAGACAAACCTCATTTGTGTACTAAATTCGTACAAAAATACTATCGTAAATTCTCAAGTATCATTATGTGCGAAGGCAATTATCGAGCATTGCTAGACGATCCAGTAATTAACATGAAAATATAGTCCATCCCAAAATTATTAACCGTTAGATGAATGCACAGACGAATCTCCTAGACTTGTTCATCGAATCAGCTAAATAATCACCAACGTTACTTGAAAAACAAGAAAGTAAAAAAATATATAAAATTGAACATTGAAAATTTCATATTTTCAAATGAGCATCAAAAATATAATGTTTCAAAAAAATTTCATTTGTTATTATACTCCAAGAAGAGCAATTCGAATATGTTTTCGTTTCCCGGCCCCTTAAACGAGGAACCTAAGGACCGGTTTCACGTTTCCTTATGAAACGTGGAACCCCTTGGGCTAGCTGAAGAGGATTCAATTAGCGGCCTTTGACATAAAGGTTCTGCTCACTGGAGGGACACTGCAAAACACTAGATGTCTGATCGTTACTTGCTTCTCGATTCAATCAACTTTGCACCATTTTCTTGTGAGATTCAGCAGACAGTTTTGCTGCTTCTTGCAGCATCCTGTTGTCTGTAGTGCTCAAAGAAACTCGACTCGGCGTGCAACTGACGAATTCTGCGAAATTCGGTAGTATCGGCCAAGTGCATCCATCCATCATCGGATCCTGAGGAAGTTCAATGACACTTCGCTGGCCAATGAGAGACCATGACGCTTACTTTCGTTGATGACATAACCTTGGGTTACCTGTTAAGCAGTTACTTCAAGCAGCTGTAACCAATCATCGTCCAGCTTCTCATCTTACTCTCCAACATTCTCGCCACTGCCTCAGTGCATCAAAAATGTGCTCTCAAGCAGCGACGCCATGGGAAATGTGACTGGACTACACCCTCTTCAGACATAAAATTCGAATTCCTCAAAAGTGCTGCAGCTCACAGCCTTCCTGTAACAACTAAAAATCGTTTCTTGGCCGTCTAATATATACATGCTCCGGGAAAGGAACTCTTGAAACTGGAAAGGTACTAAACGAGACGGCAATCATAACGTTTCGTAAAGCAACATATCTCAACTGGGGTTCTGTGAGGACATTATCAATGTTTATTTTTGTGTTTACAGAGATGGACTTTTTTGTGACAAATTGATAAATACTTTTGAGATTAGTACATATGTTTATTGTATAATAATTTTTATGCATGGAGTTCCGCAAGGGTAACAATGTTGAGAAACACTACCGTTGAGAATCTCACTTGTTAGACTTAGTTATGTCCAATCCCATACGGTGAAGGTTTATACCCTCCACTTCCTGAGGTCACAAAACATCTTTTCCTTTAAGATTTTCACTGATATTTTCTGACTATTGATCATTTAATGGATGGGTTATGACAAAATTTATTGTTTATATTTTCGTTTACTGAAGCAGTGACGTCGTGACCATGGGCTATTTTAACTCTTCACGTCCTGTTGTGACGTGAAAAGTACAGAACTAGTTTTTACTCATCATTCACAGCAATAAGCCAGTGGTACTTTTCTGGGTTTCTTAACTATATTAGTGTTGTTTGTAGTGCCCTCAGGAATACCACTGCGGAAGATGCCATGATGCCTGCCCTGTCTCCCAGAGACGTTTTTCTTACTTTATTTTCTGCCAAGTCATTTATATAACTAAGGCAACAGTTGCTGCAATAGGTAGTTAGGTGTTTTGATTAACAAACGGGATATTTTAAATGTGACTGTTACGAATCTTACAAGGATTCTAACATTACTCTTGATGCTTATATACTTTATTGTCTTGTTTTATAATTAATATAGTATCCAGTTGTATGATGATAGAATACGGTATGTTAATTAGTGTAGCATACTGTAGTGTGCCTGAGTTGCATTATATTGTATGAGGCTTTTTTGTGCAAGTTTATTCATGTTGGTTTCTCCGTGTGGGGGGATGACCATATCTGGATGTGGCCAGTGTGGGAACTTGATGTCAAACGAGTGGTTATAGTTCAACCTTGATTAATTCTTATTACTGTTTGACAGTAAATTATATTGAGCAATGTAACAGTATTTAATACTATTAAGATTAATAATGATTTGAATATTAGTACTACATTTTGTTAGTTGAATTTCCACAATAGTTTATGTGGATGTTTAGTTGATATTGTGGTAGAACGCCTGCCCTGGGAACAGACACTTGGTCAGAGGCGTGGCAGCTTTGGTCGAGAGGAGACATGTTTTTAAGTTAAGTCCGTGGTTACTGTTTTTTTAGCTAAATACTCGGTTAATTCTCTGGGTTGATAATTGTGTATTATCCCTTTTAGTAATTCATGTGCTGGTGATATTGCTCATTGCTCAGTAAGGATTTTTATTTATATTATTGCATGCTAAAGAATATTTCTGGCTATTATATTTACCATTTAATTGTTATGTTTGTCACCCTTAGCGTAGATACATTGTTTTTCCAATTTATGCAGTGTTGTTTCTTTACCCCTAGACACATGTTGGCAAGGCCGATATAATATATATTGATCACTGCGGGAAAAGAACCGTACTAAGTCTCAAGGGTTGTAACAGTGACAAATCCCATGGCCTACCTCTTGCCACTGTAACAGAAGCGGGAAACTTTTCTCAACAGCTTATGCATTGGACACTTAATGGACCAAAGTCCAGCAGTATAATGTCAAAACTGCGCTTTCCCGCTGAGAATCGTGCATGAATCGGCCTCGTGGAATGCCTGATTTTCAGAATGATCGGAAGTCTTGCTTAAAAGAATGTTTCTATAAGCCATTTGTCTCTGGATAAAATATTTGATGAATGACATGTGTGATATTGCCAGGTTTATGTCTTTTTACTCTCGTATCGGCATCGTCAATGATATCTAGCAACTAGTGCATACACTTTGTCACACGGTGCTAATATAGCCTTTCGGACTTGACATTTTCTTTGGATAATTACTTCTACATGGGTTAAGCTGTAAGCCGGGAATGCTTTAAACAATGCAGTTAAGTGAAACTTTGATCGATAAAAGTTTCAACCTAATCAGCTGTGAGTGACGTGTTGAGTGTTTTGGACAATATTTTAAGAATGGTCTGCAGCCGTCTGTAAAATATTTACCAGGCTAAATAGAACAAAATATTACCCTCTCAAAACTCTACAAAGAAAGCACTGGGCGTTTTCAGGATCATAAAACTGCATTTGCACATAAAACAAAAACATATGAATTACTCACTCTAGTGGAATTTTCTCGATCTCCATCAACATAGTAGATCCTATAGGCAGGGTTGAGGCCGTACCATGGTGTCTGGCTGGGAGCGATGTAGGCAACACCCACAGGACGCTCACCGTCGTGAAAGATCTCCAACTCGTCAAAATGAGTATGGCCGTAGAACAGGCCACGAATGGTGTTTTCGTACCTGCAGAGTAGAAATAGGTGGTCCTGTCGTATAAATTATTTTAGCTGATTTATAACCAATAAAATAAATCGCTAATAAAAGGCAGCTTGCAGAATTAAAAAATAAATCTATCCAATAGTTTTAATTTTACTATTGTTAAGAAATAAATTGTGTACCAAAACTGTTGATACGAGTAAAGTGAAAACGTTTCGGTCCCTAAAGTTCCAAGCGGGCTGTTTTAGTGTTTCTTTTCTTTCACTCAACTTACTGCAACTTTAAATTATGTTTATAAAATAACCAAACGCATATATAGCACAATTTTTTCTGACATTATTACATTTAGTGCATTGCTTTCTCACACAGTTATATGTAGTTCATTCTCTTTCCACAACAATCACGCGCAGTAGATATTCCACATCAAGGACTCAAACACACACTCCTGTGGTTGTGGTACATTAGTTAGTTATTTGAGTAGCTCCAGTATTTTGTTATTTTACTGTGTAGATTTGGGACCTGGCGCTCCAATATTTTCCATGTGTATATTATTTGATATCTTTCTCGTCTTCCTTCTGGTCAGTACATTTGGAGAGCTTTGAGACGATCCCAATAAGTATGATGCTTTTTCGTGTCTATATATGCCATATAGATTATTTGTATTCCCTCTATTTCAGCAATCTCTCCTGCTCTGAAGGGGGAAGTCATTATCGAGCAGTACTCAGGGCAGGACAGCACAATTGATTTGAATAGTACAACCATTGAGATGGTTGGATTTGAAGGCTCTCGTAATCCATCCTATCATTTTTCTGGCTGACGCAATATTTGCTTGGTTATGTTCTCTGAACGTTAGGTCATCAGACATCATTATTCCCAGATCCTTTACATGCTGCTTTCCTACTATGTGCAGATTTGCTTGTGTTTTGTACCCTGTATTTTGTTTAATGTACTCATTTTTACCGTACCTGAGTTTCTGGAATTTATCTCTGTTAAACATCAGGCTATTTTCTGCTGCCCAGTCGAAAACTTTATTAATATCTGCTTGTAGTTTTTAAAGATTTTTAGCAGACGTAATTTTAATGCTGATTTTTGTTTCATCTGCAAAGGATGATACGAAGCTGTTACTTGTGCAAATGCAAATGCAATGCAAATACAATTCGTCTTCATCTTTAAAAGCATAAATTAATAAATGAGTCGCAACATGGTTTTACAAATGGCCGTACATGTTTAACAAATTTGCTATCTTTTTATTCCAGCAGATTTGAGGCAGTTGATAGTGGTAAGGATTGTGATGTTGTGTACCTTGACTTTAGCAAAGCTTTTGATACAGGGCCACATGAAAGACTGATTAAAAAGATATAGGCTCATGGGGGGTGCTATATTATGTTGGATTAGGGCATGGCTATTCCAAAGGAAACAGAGAGTTAGTATAAATGAGGTTAAGTCAGAGTGAGATAATGTTGTAAGTGGAGTGCCTCAAGGCTCTGTCCTGAGACCTCTGTTGTTTAACATATATATAAATGATTTAGATTCAGGTTTGAGTAGCAACATTTGCAAATTAAGAACATAAGAACGTAAGTAACTGCAGAATGGATATTGGCCCATACGAGGCTATCACCACCCAATCCCATTCATATACATGTCCAACCCACGCTTGAAACAATCGAGGGTTGTTGCATAGATAAAAAATGCATAGATATTATCAGCAGGGAAGCGGAACGCATAGCAGTGAAAATAAACAGCAATAAAACAAAAGCAATGGCCGTAAAAGTGAGAACTCAAGACATCAGACTCACAATACAAGGACATGAAGTTGAGTGGGTTACCTCTTTTCAATACCTAGGAGTCATAATAGACAACCAGTTGAAATTCACTCAAGAAATTATATATCTTCGGCAATGGAGTAAAGCTAGAAACTCAGCTTTGCGCTCCCTGACACGTCTTAGAGAAGGTGCATCTCTACCATTACTCAAAATGTACTACGTTCAAGCAGTTACGTCACTCATTGACTATGCTGCTCCTGCTCTTACATCCCTCAGTGATAACCAATGGGAGAAACTGGAAGTGTCTCAAAATGATGCTCTCAGAACAATGCTGGGAGCACCTATATGGACGCGTAGAGAGAACCTAAGAACGGAAACCAACAGAAAACAGGATCAAACAAAGGATTGCCACCATAATAGCAAATTTGTTGGAACCACCGCCAGACTGTCAATCAAAGACAGCATACAGAGATCCCTTCAGAAAAACATTTAATATGGAACCAAGCACATAGATGGATAATCTAGTCAAGATTCTAGAGAAAGTGGTCTTGAAATGGACCATTAAAAACAAAGGGGAAGATAGATCATATCAACACTTTCGGAAGCCTCCTACATGGAAAGAATCGAGTCTAAAGATAATCAGTGAAGGATTACCAGTTAAAAAATCAGCATGTGACTCGTAGAGGCTCAAAGAAGTAATAGAACAACAAATGAAAACCATCTCAAGTCCTACAACGACTCACATCTTTACCGATGGATTAGTTAATCAAGAAAGAGGTTCTGCTGGGGCAGCAGTTTACACTAACATCCATGAAGCTTACTGGAGCATGAATAGTGGGTGCTCAACATTGCAAACAGAATTATATGCCCTGAAGGAGGCAATAAACTATACAATTGAGAATAATTTACATGATGTCATCATTCATACCGACTCTAAATCTTCGCTCCTGGCATTGTTATCCAGTCAGCGCAGAGATAATATACAACTCCTCACAGAAATTTAACATATAGGAAAAGAAGCCTATAATCTAGGGATGTCAATCACCCTAAATTGGATACCAAGTCACATTGGCATAGATGGTAATGAAAAGGCAGACTCACTAGCAAAAACTGCCACTGCTCTACGTGTTGTACAAGTTCAAATACCTCCCAGTTTTTTACCGATTAAGGAGCAAATCAAGAAGAAAATACTCTCGACTATCAAAAGTCGCCACAGAGCCAAAGTAGCGGAAGGAAGATCCACTGCGATATGGTACGAACAAGTCACTGGTTACTCCTCTTTCAAGCCTGGCAAAACGATATCCAAAGACATTGCAGTAGCCATACATAGACTCAGACTTGGTTACAAGTGCTGCTGGGAAGTAATGAACCCCATAGTTAAAGTGTCATATCTGTAAAACAAAAACAGAGGCGCCACTATTGGACTACTTACTGGAATGTGAAGCTACTGAAGCCCTGCGCATCAAACTAAACATTAATCCAGCGACAGCAGCTGCATTAGATGCTCATTCCACCGCGACTACAATGATTAGAAAAGCCGTTGAAGAATGGGACTCACTAATGAGCATTCTGCATCTACATCCGCCTCCAAGATAATGTTATTAAAACAACACTAAAACCAGTGTACTAAAACAAAAGCGAAAAATAAACCGGGAAAACGGAGGAATCCCCACCTACATTTAAAACTTTGACCCCAAATATCACAGAAACAAGGTTATCGCGAATAACCGAACTCAATTACGGGCTCACCTTAGACCGTGCTACATGGACACTTCGTTCTGAGTAGCTAAATCTAAAACAACAACAACGTGTATCCTCTGCAAGTCAACCATATATATGCAGCCTTAGTATATTCCCTGCAAGTCAACCAAAAATATACGCAACCTTAGTACATAACCTGTACGTCAACCATATATACGCTGCCTTAGTACATAACCTGTACGTCAACCATATATACGCTGCCTTAGTATATTCCCTTCAAATCACCAACTGTTGTGTCTGTCGCAAACCTGCTTGGGTGATATGTTCTGTTAATTTTATAATGAGTTTCACGTAGAAATATAAAATTATAATCTTAGTAATTTAGTCTGCGAATAATTAAAATTGTTTAGTATTCAAGTTAACCATATAATTATAGAAGCGCTGGTTACTTTTACAATATTCACTATGAATAATCTTGTGTACGAATAACAATAAACTAGTATTATGTATGTATGTATGTATGTATGTATGTATGTATGTATGTATGTATGTATGTATGTATGTATGTATGTATCTAACAATAAAATAATCTAGCATGAATAACTCGGGTCAGAATGGTGCTCGAGCTTCAGGAGTGCCTCACTCAGTGTATTAGGAATGAATAATCATACTGATGTTATCTGCACGTTATTGCTATCCGATATTAACAAAATTGTACTCAGATTAAATTATATATTGATGTATTGTTTCTTAGTAAAGTGTTAATTGATCAGCTGTATTATCAGTCACCTGTCAGCTTGATTCACCTGTTAATGAGTCAAGACTTTTCACAGAGTGACGAAGATGATGGAAGGAAAATAGCCTGCAAAAGCGAATTGTTTAAATAAATTAAAAACTTATTTTCAAAATAAAAAATATGAATAAAAAACAGTTATAAATGTTAAGTAAATATTTCATTATACCATCAATATTTCTGGGTAAAATATTATTGGATTAAATGTTCAATGAGTTTTTTGTTGAGTTGCATAAAAATAAAGTTAATTCCGACGTGCAAATGCACTTTTAAAGGTTAACGTTACATTGTTTGAATTGTAAAATGTTATATGAAGATTATTGATAAATTGAGCTCAAGATGCTGGGTTATACTAAAACTTGAAACCCTTGCTCGAGAATAATTTTGGGGGTGGTATTGTGGTTGAGACACCTGTAGCTTACCAATCCATTTGCATCCTAGCTGACATCTGTGGTTGTGACGTTACCAATGTGCACCTTAGCTGACATCTGTGGTTGTGACGTTACCAATGTGCACCTTAGCTGACATCTGTGGTTGTGACGTTACCAATGTGCATCCTAGCTGACATCTGTGGTTGTGACGTCATCAATGTGCACCTTAGCTTACATCTGTGGTTGTGTCGTCATCAATTTGCACCCTAGCTGACATCTGGGGTTGTGACGTCACCAATGTGCACCCTAGTTGACATCGTTGGTTGTGACGTCACCAATGTGCACCCCAGCTGAAATCTGTGGTTGTAACGTCACCAATGTTCACCCTAGATGACATCTGTGGTTGTGACGTCACCAATGTGCACTCTAGCTGACATTTGTGGTGTTGAGTCGGAGCGGTCGGCCGAGCGGACAGCACGCTGGACTTGTGATCCTGTGGTCCTGGGTTCGATCCCAGGTGCCGGCAAGAATCATTGGGCAGAGTTTCTTTCACCCTATGCCCCTGGTACCTGGCTGTTAGTCAGCTGTCACGGGCTGCTTCCTGGGGGTGGAGGCCTGGTCGAGGACCGGGCCGCGGGACACTAAAAAGCCCCGAAATCATCTCAAGATAACCTCAAAATTGACGTCACAATGTGCACCCCTATCTGACATCTGGGGTTGTGACGTCACCAATGTGCACCCTAGCTGACATCTGTGGTTGTGACGTCACCAATGTGCACCCTAGCTGACATCTGTGGTTTTGACATCATCAATGTGCACCCTAGCTGATATCTGTGGTTGTGACGTCACCAACGTGCACCCTAGCTGATATCTGTGGTTGTGACGTCACCAATGTGCACACTAGCTGATGTCTATGGTTGTGACGTCACCAATGTGCACACTAGCTGATGTCTATGGTTGTGACGTCACCAATGTGCACCCTAGCTGATGTCTATGGTTGTGACGTCACCAATGTGCACCCTAGCTGATATCTGTGGTTGTGACGTCACCAATGTGCACCCTAGCTGATATCTGTGGTTGTGACGTCACCAATGAGCACCCTAGCTTATATCTGTGGTTGTGACGTCACTAATGTGCACCCTAGCTGATATCTGTGGTTGTGACGTCACCAATGTGCACCATAGCTGATGTCTATGGTTGTGACGTCACCAATGTGCACCCTAGCTGATATCTGTGGTTGTGACGTCACCAATGTGCACCCTAGCTGATATCTGTGGTTGTGACGTCACCAATGTGCACCCTAGCTGATATCTGTGGTTGTGACGTCACCAATGTGCACCCTAGCTGATGTCTATGGTTGTGACGTCACCAATGTGCACCCTAGCTGATATCTGTGGTTGTGACGTCACCAATGTGCACCCTAGCTGATATCTGTGGTTGTGACGTCACCAATGTGCACCCTAGCTGATATCTGTGGTTGTGACGTCACCAATGTGCACCCTAGCTGATGTCTATGGTTGTGACGTCACAAATGTGCACCCTAGCTGATATCTGTGGTTGTGACGTCACCAATGTGCACCCTAGCTGATGTCTATGGTTGTGACGTCACCAATGTGCACCCTAGCTGATGTCTATGGTTGTGACGTCACCAATGTGCACCCTAGCTGATATCTGTGGTTCTGACGTCACCAATGTGGACCCTAGCTGATATCTGTGGTTGTGACGTCACCAATGTGCACCCTAGCTGATATCTGTGGTTGTGACGTCACCAATGTGCACCCTAGCTGATATCTGTGGTTGTGACGTCAGAGAGATCACATTCATTCAAACACAAAAGATTTGTGTGTTTGATTATTTATCTGTTGGCACGAGGAACACAGTAATTATCTTCACACCCGCTGCACCTCACATTCCCCCTACTCCTCATTCCTCATACACCTCGCACCCACTACACCTCACTTCCCCTACACCTCACTCTTCATACAACTCACACAAATCAAATGAAATGTTTATTTAGGTAAGGTACACACATACAAGAGATTTTACAAAGAGTGATGGATTTATAGATAGGGCTAGTACATACAATGCCTAAAGCCACTATTACGCAAAGCGTTTCGGGCATACCCGCTACACCTCACACCCCCCTACACCTCATTCCTCATACACCTCACACCTGCTACACCTCACTCCCCCTACACCTCACTCTTCATACAACTCACACCCGCTACACCTCACACCCCCCCTACACCTCATTCCTCATACACCTCACACCTGTTACACCTCACTCCTCCTACACCTCACTCTTCATACAACTCACACCCGCTACACCTTACACCCCCCTACACCTCATTCCTCATACACCTCACACCTGCTACACCTCTCACAATACAACTCACTCCCGCTACACCTCACACCCACTACTCGCACTCGATATTATTTACTCTCTGACGGTCGCAACTGCTCATTCTCCTCACAGCAACATACCTGACGACAATCCTGTTGAACTCCCGTGACCAGGTGCGCTCGGCCTCCAGTATGCCCGGCGGGACGTGGCCTAGCAGGTGAACCAGCTCCCCTGAGGCCTCTGCTCTGTTCAGCTGCTCCTCCAGCCACGCCAGCTCCTCCCCGGGGTCCTGCGAGTCCTCTACCAGCCACCTGCCAGTGACAGCTTTCCAGGTCAGCAGTGTGCCAAGTCCTAGGCCTTAACATTTACAAAAATACTCATGCTCTTCATATGATCCTGAATCCTAGTGTAAACATAATATATGCATTAAATCCATGGTTTGGGAGATCACTATAATAATAATAATAATAATAATAATATAGAAGCCAGCAGTATACTGTTGCTGTGAGTGACACTCGTGAGCACTTTTATAGTTTATCAGCCCACTGTTCATACGTCTGCAGACGTCTGGTTGTTCGTGTAACTGAAATAGAAACCTGTCCCTTCTGGCAAAGTGGCCCTGTTTTGAACATTTTTGGAGGTAATTAATATCACCTCCCACCTAGGCCCACAAGTGCCTTCAGACATGCTTCTCTTTTTTATTTAATGTTATAAGTAATAATTTAGTTATCTTTAACGACAATAAGTCTCCCTGAAAAACATTAAGTTAATAGAGAATAATATGAGTCAAGGGAAATGCATTATTATATGCAGGAGTGTTGTGTAGAGAAGTGGGTGACGTGTGTGTGGGGGGGGGGGGGCCCGGTTGTATGGCACAAGTCCCGTACACATATTTATGTATTTTCATAACCCCTATCCCACCCGCCCCTAACCCCCTTCCCATCCGTTTCTTCATTCTCCCTCCAACCATCCCACCAATTCCCCCCCCCCCATTTAGCCCCTCATCTTTTTCATAAAATAAAATACTGGGGAGCAATTAAACTATTGCATGTGTTTAAATAAATTTTCTTTCTGATTACGAAAAACTCTTCGGACATATCAATCCATATTTCACACTTGACCACAATGGAATCTGTGAGAATCGGATGAGAAAAGTGTGAATAATTAGTAACATTTCCTAAGTCATTTAAATTTGGTTTACCCAGACATGCCTATGTCCGTCCTCTACCCTAGACCATTCCCTCTACACATTTGCATAAAGCTAGCCCCAAGCCTGTGGCCTCGAATTTGACAGTCAAATATTCTCTTGTATAGCATATTAATGGGGATACTCTGTATTGCCCAGGTCTCTGTCTATCTATCCATCTATCTATCTATCATCTACCTATCCATTCATCTATTTATCAATACATCTCTCTATTCATCCATTTATCCATCTATCGATTCATCCATCTATCTGTCCATCTTTCTTTTCATCTACCTATCCATTTATCAATAAAACTATCTATCTATCCATCCATTCATGCATCTACGTACCCATGTATCCATCTACCTGGCCACCTATCTGTCCATGTATCTATTCATCTATCCAATTATGAAACCCATCTATCAATCTATTTATGCATCTATTCATATATCCTTTCATCTATCTATCCCGGTATTCATCCATATTTCCATCTATCAATCCATCTATATCTGTCTATCTATTCATCCATTTATCCATCTATCTATCCCAGTATTCATCCATATAACCATCTATCACTCCATCTATATATCTGTCCATCAACATCTGTCTACCTATCCATCTATCTACCGCGGTATTCATCCATATGTCCATCTATCAATCATCTATATCTGTCTATCTATTCATGATAGATAGACAGATCGATCGTTCGTTCCGCATTCAATATTTGCTTGAACTCCTCTAGTTGTGCTTGCGGAGGTTGAGCTTTGGCTCTTTGGTCCCACCTCTCAACTGTCAATCAATCGTGTTCTAGTAATGAATCCAGAGAAAAGTTGTCTAGGCATCCTGACAGCACGATTCTTGTGAGTTTTTCTGAAGGGTCCAGCTTTTCCAACCACACAGAGTTTTCCTTGCTGGACTGTTACTGTTTGTAATAAGTTTTTTGCAGTCTGTTGGTCTCGCGGCGTCATTATTATTTTTCCTTTCAAGTTGATTATGATAGAAAGTTTGAGCTTTGGCTGCTCCTTTTCCATTGCTGTTAGTATTCCATTTCCGTGAGGAAAGTCGTCTGTCTCCATTATGTTGAAAGTTAGAAGATATGCAGAGCCCACAGGCTGGTTGTGTCCTTATTTGTCTTATAATGTTGCCCCTATGGCTGTGCTGTAAAGAGAGGTACATTGTCTGACACTGGTTGGTGTGAGACTGGTGATATCCTCTCCTGTCTCAATATGTTGTCCTGTGGCTGGGTTGTGGAGAAAGAAACATTGCCAGACACTGACTGGTGCATAACTGGTACTATCCTCTCTAGGTCTGTTATGTCTGGTGTTTATCTGGAAGAAGCACTTGGTGTAGCCTCAATAGCAGTATTCGTCTGTGCCTGCTACACCTCGGTCCACTGTCTCTCGTATGAAAACTGCTTCCATTTCCTATTTCTATTTTACTTCCCCTTGACGTCTCCACGTAGTGAGGACCAATTTACTGCCCTAACTAATGCCTGAGACACTCCTAGGCCTGGATAATTTAATTCCCCGCCAAGGAGGTCGTAAAATGATTCCTCCAGGTGGAATCAGGGACACCTTACACCTACTTGAGCGGTTTGGTTATCCTTTCCCTTTCATGCTCAGTACACCTACTGAGGTTCCCCCTTTCTGGTAATGTCCGTAGCGTATTACCTCCCCCTTCAGGGTAGGACTCATAATGACCTGATTATTTATACGGTCTTAACAATAATGAAAATAATCGATCATAGAAAGTTAGGCAACGAGTGTGGTATGACAGTTTTGGGGTCGCCTGCGTACTGTGGCTCGCACAATACCAACCAGCTGGACAGCAACTAATCAACAATATTGTTTATCCACTAATTGCAGACGAAATCAGAAAAATTTCCTTCCAAACATGATATACTCTGAGTCTGAGTAATGATGTGCTCTTTCTCACAATACAGCGATGATTTGAGCTTGGGGGTGCTCAGAACCTTAAATTTTAGATAACAAAGCCGAATGCGGCCTCCAATACCAATAGCGCCAGCAGCGGATCAACTAATAAGTGATGGGGAGTAGAAGCCTTCAAACTAATACTTCATGGGAATTAAGGAGCTGCAGAACTAATAAGTGATGGATGTTAAGGAAACTCGGAATGAATAAGTGATGGGTATTAAGGAGCCTCGATACCTATATGTGGTGGATGTTAGGGAGCCTGAGAAGTAATTACTAATGAAGTGTTAAGAAGCTTCTGAACTAATAAGAGATGATTATTGGAACTAATTGGAACCAAGAGGAAGCTTGAAACTAATAAATCATGGATGTTAAGAAGCCTTGTGACTAATACATGATTAGTATTAATGAGTTTTGGAACTAATAAATGGTGGGTGTTAAATACCTTCGAAATTAATAAGTCTTGAAAGTTTAGGAACCCCAGAACTAATAAGTGATGGGAGGTTATCATGAGGTTATCTTGAGATGATTTTGGGGCTAAGCGTTCTCGCGGCCCGGTCCTCGACCAGGCCTCCATTTTGTTACACATCCCCAGGAAGCAGCCTGTAGCAGCCGTTTAACTCCTAGGTACTTATTTATTACTAGGTGAACAGGACCATTAGGGTGAAAAAACTCTGTTTTTTTCTGTTGTTTCCTCCTCTGCCAGGGATCGAACACAAAATCTTAGAACTACGAATCCCGAGCACTGTCCACTCAGCCGTAAGGCCCCAATGTAAAATTGGGCTTCATGCAATGAAGCCAATGGGCTTTTACATCCCATCCCAATGGGATGTAGAAGCCTCAAAATTAATCATACTTGGGTGTTAATAAGCTTCCGAACTATTTGGTGATGGGTCTTAAGGAGCCTCGGAATTAATTAGTGCTGGGTGTTAACGAACCTCAGAACAAATAGGTGATGATGTGTTCAGAAGCCTCAGAGCTAACAAGTGATTGGTGTTAAGGAGTCCTAGAACAAATAGGTGATGTTATAGAACCTCATAACTAGTAAGTGATGAGTGTTAAAAAGCTTCAGAACTAATAAAAGATTGGTGTTAGGGAGCTTCAAAACTAATAATAGATAAGTGTTACTGAGCCTCGAAACTAATAAATTGTGAGGTCATAATGGACCCTTCGAACTAATAAGTCATTAGTTGTAGAAGCCTTCAAACAAATAAGGGAGGGGTTATAAGAAACCACAGGACTAAACAGTGATTGGTGTTAAGGAGCCTCAGAAGTAATAAGTGATGGGTGATAAGGAATCCCTAAATTAATAAATGATGCCTATTTAGAAGCCTCAGAACCAATATATGATGGGGTGTTTAGGAGCCTGAGAATAAATATGATTGATGTTAAGGAGCTAAGAACTAATAAGTGATAAGTTTTTAAGGATCCTCGAAATTAATAAGTGATTGAAATGTTAAGAAGCATCAGAACTAGTAGGTGATAAGTGTTAAGAAACTTCGTAACTAAAAAGTGATGAGTGTTAAGGGGCCTCATAAGTCATAAGTGATGGGTATTATTGATCCATGGAACTAATAAGTAATGGGTGAAAAATAATTAGTGATGGGTATTAAAAACCATCAGAACCAATGAGTGAAGGGTGTTATGGAGCCTCGGAACAAGTAAGAGATGGTAGAGGTAAGAATCCCCCAAACTAATAAGTTATCGGTGTTGAGGAACCTTTGAATTAGTGAGTATTTGTGTGTAGAAACCTCGAATCAAATAATTGATTGGTATTAAGGACACGCGGCATTAAGTGGTGGTGGGTGTTAAGGGAAATAATAGGTGATAGCTGTTAAGGAGCCTAGGAAATAATAGGTGATAGCTATTAAGGAGCTTAATGAAATAATAGGTGATAGCTGTTAAGGAGCCTAGGAAATAATAGGTGTTAGCTGTTAAGGAGTCTAGGAAGTAATAGGTGATAGCTGTTAAGGAGCCTATGAAATAATAGGTGATAGGTGTTAAGGAGCCTAGGAAATAATAGGTGTTAGCTGTTAAGGAGCCTAGGAAGTAATAGGTGACAGCTGTTAAGGAGCCTAGGAAATAATAGGTGATAGCTGTTAAGGAGCCTAGGAAGAAAAACTAATGGAGTGTTAAGAAGTTCCAGAACTAAGTGATGGGTGATAAGAAATCTTGGAACTAATAAGTCATGAGTTGTAGAAGTCTCCAAACAAACAAGTGATGGGTGCTAAAGAGCCGCAGGAGAAGCCGTAAATACCAAAACTCTGATAAATTTTAAAGTACAACTGGAAAAGCTTAATAAGGCAAGTGGGGAGACCTTCCAGAAGCCTCCGGCTTCCTGTCCTCGTCGAGGCCACCAGCGTTAGTGGCCTTCAGGTAAATTCAGGTAATAAATGATTGGTGTTAATCATTCTCGGAACTAATCTCTGATGTGTGTTAAGTAGTCTCAGAACAAATAAATGATTGGTGAAAAGAAGCTTTGGAACAAATAAGTTTTGAGCTGTTAAGAAGCTTCATAACTAATAAGTGATGACGTGTTAAGAAACCTTGCAGCTAATACTAGACTGGTGTTAAGGAGCCTCATTATTAATAATAAGGAAGTTTTATGGAGCATCAGAACTAGTACGTTATGGAGTATTATGAACACTTCAAACTAATAAGTGATTGGTGTTAAAGAGCCTCGAAGCTAATATGTGATGGTCGTTAAGAGGCCAGACACTAGTAAGTGATTGGTGTTAAGGAGCCTAGGAACAAATAACTGATGGATGTTAATGAGGCTCGGTACAGATAAGTGTTAAGAATCCTCTAAACTATTAAGTGATGGGTGTTAAGAATTTCTGGAACTAATAGATGATGCGTCTTAAGGAGCCTTGAAACTAATAGGTGAAGGGTATTAAGAAGCCTCGGAACTAATAGGTGATGGATGTTAAGGAGCCTAGGAACTAATATGAGTTTTGTGCTATGATGTCTTGGAACTATTTAGTGAAGGGCGTTAAGAAGCCTCAAAATTGATAAGTGATGGATGTTAGAGAGTCTCTTAATTAATAAGCCATGAGAATCAGGAAGCCTCAAAATCAATAAATGAGGGGAAGTTATGAGTCTCAGATGTAATTGGTAATCGGTGATCAGGTCCCTCTCAACTAATAAGTAATGAGTGTTAGCAATCTTCAGTGCTAATAAGTTATTAATATTAAGGAGCCTCAGAGTTAATACCGATGAGTATTTAGGAGCCTTGGCACTAATAAATGATGATTATTTAGGAGCCTCACAACTAATAAGTAATGAGTGTTAAAGAGTCTCAGTAATGATAAATGACACGTGTTAAGGAACCTCAGAACTTATAAGTGATGAGTGTGTTATGGAGACTTTGAGCTAATAAAAGGTAAGTGCTAAAGAGCTTCATATATAATAAGAGATGGGTCTTCTGAAAACTAGAAACTAATAAGGGATGAGTGTTGTAACAGTGAAGTAATAAATGATAGGTGCAAAGGAGCCTCAAAGCTAATAAATGGCGATCGGTGTTACAGAACCTCAGAACTATTAAGTGTTGAGTGTTTAGAAACCTCGAAACTGATAAGGAATGGTGGTAACAAGCCTTATAACTAATAACTGATGAGTGTTAATGAGCCTTGGAATTAATACGAGATGAGTGTTTAGGAGCCTCGGAAGTAGTAGGAGACGAGTGTTTAGGAGCCTCGGAAGTAGTAGGAGACGAGTGTTTAGGAGCCTCGGAAGTAGTAGGAGATGAGTGTTTAGGAGCCTCGGAAGTAGTAGGAGATGAGTGTTTAGGAGCCTCGGAAGTAGTAGGAGACGAGTGTTTAGGAGCCTCGGAAGTAGTAGGAGATGAGTGTTTAGGAGCCTCGGAAGTAGTAGGAGATGAGTGTTTAGGAGCCTCGGAAGTAGTAGGAGATGAGTGTTTAGGAGCCTCGGAAGTAGTAGGAGATGAGTGTTTAGGAGCCTCGGAAGTAGTAGGAGATGAGTGTTTAGGAGCCCCGGAAGTAGTAGGAGATGAGTGTTTAGGAGCCCCGGAAGTAGTAGGAGATGAGTGTTTAGGAGCCCCGGAAGTAGTAGGAGATGAGTGTTTAGGAGCCCCGGAAGTAGTAGATGAGTGTTTAGGAGCCTTGGAAGTAGTAAGAGATAAGTGTTTAAGAGCCTCGGAAGTAATAAGAGAAGAGTGTTAAGGAGCATCAGAACTAAGAAGTGATATGGGTTAAGGAGACTCAGAACTAATCAGTGATTAGTTCGAAATGGTTTGGAACTAATAAGACTTCAGTTTGGGCACTCACAGATTGGAAGAATAGCCGAACATGGAGTTGAATGAGATAATCCTGAAGCCAGGTTGGAGCAGAACCGAGTAGTAAGCGGCCCTCGTGACGGTGGAGTTGTCGAGCTGCGGCACCAGACGCGACCACTGCCGTGCCAGCTCCTGGTACAGCCAATCTGCGCTCAGCTCTTCCGGAGTGTCACTGTCGTCTGGGTTGGTGAACCTGACCATCAAAGAGAAGAAAATGAGGATCAGCTTTCACTCTCCTTATTGTTAATAAGTAAATCGAGGAATAACTAGCTCCATTGTTATATATATATATATATATATATATATATATATATATATATATATATATATATATATATATATATATATATATATATATATATATATATATATATATATATATATATATATATATATATATATATATTGTGACGGAGTTCCCCCCCTTATAATTCTCCCATGCCTGCAGTAAGAGTCATGTCTACTTTTCCCAAGCGTTCTCTACGTTGCAGGCTACAATTTGATATATGGGAGAGAGTGAAGTGTTCTCGGAGAGCCGAGAAATTTGTGAAATAGTAATATTTTGGCCTGTGGTATAGGCCCTTTAGGGAGCCAAGATGGCGCTTACCTCTCTGATCTCCCGCCAAAACCGTGTGACGTCAGTGGCACCGGATTGGTCACCGACAGCAAGGTGGCACCGGGAGCCAATGAAAACCTCCCGTGGCGAAAGTGACGTCACGAAGGAAGGGGGTCCGGCCAGCGCGCCGGGCTGGCACCAGCAGTCAGACACGACACGTCATAGAGGTCGGACGTGCGACGAGTGGTCCTGTCTGTCGGACAGCTGTTTCCCACTACCGTGGATTTACGCGTCACCTGAAGTCCGCCAGTACTCTGAGAAGTCTTCCCTAGTTCATGTGTTGAACCAGAAGAGGGAATTGACGGTTATTTGAGCAACAAGTGCTCCAGTCAGGTACTGTGCCAGTAGCAGTGAAGCCGTGCAGTGACGTATGTTGACGTCTGTGGCAATTCACCAGTTTGTGACAGCGTAGTGGCTGACAGAGCCACTGGGTAGCTGAGGAAGAGAGGACTATTTGGGGAAACCGAACGACTGTAGCTGAGACGTAGGCGACAGCCGTTGCTGGGAGAAGACGACGGCCAGGAGACCGACTCCAACCTTCAAGAAGTCAAGGAGGAGGACGGACCTGCAGTGAGGAGGTACGGAGACGACGCGCTAAACGGTGGGACGACGAGAGGCTCTGATAGGACACGACGACGTGTAGTGTGGGGGCGTTCCCGACACGAGGACCAGGAGCTACATCTCGACTCTCATCGGAGGATAGGGTGAAGTAGGTGGTTCTAGTTCCCTCCCCATTCCCCTTTAGTTAGCTATATTATTTGGCTATATTATCTAGCCCGAAGATTTTATATGTCGTGAGCAAGTCTCACCTATGTCACGGTAAAGCACCAGTGTGCTAGACAGTACTATCAAGAGTACTTGTAATATTCATGTTGATTATTGGTGTGTACAGGCACCAGGAACCAGTGATAAATTTACTGTGTTGTGTATATCTTTCTATAGATTTTTGATATGAACATATAGTGGTAAATTATATATAAAATTATGCCAGTATTTGGAGGTTAGGCTATGTGCCCAGAAACTATTTATTTTCCATGTATTGATGATTGATTTATATACCATATATATGTCTATGTTCATTCAGTGAATAATCATTTGTGAGTACAGTGAATTATTGCGTTATCGCCCACGAGAGAAAGTACTGAAAACTCCAGTGTTAATATTTCATAATATATTGTTGAGTGAAGAACAATGTGAAGCCATTACAGTGAATCATTATAGCATTGATTGTAGAAAAGACTGTTTGAGCCTGAGTACAGTGTAACTGAGTAATCCGGTTTATTTAGCCAATATCGAGTGTGCGAGTTTCTAGTAATATTGGAGAATTTAACGAAACAGTGAATCTAGCAAACAAGCAAATTTCGCGCGGAGTGACCATTGCGATCAGCTGTTCTTGACACTTGATGAGGAGGGGAGAGTGTTGCCCTCTAGCGGTCGCATAATATCCGTGGGAATTACCGGCCGAGTCAGGATCAGTTGATTTATTGATTATTGTTTGGCTTTGTGACATCTTTCATACATTTTAAGTAAAATACAAAACTCTCTTTGGTTTTTATCATCCCCTCCATTGATCTTGTGGCTATACTATACCTGTAAGCATAGAGTGATAACAATAAGTACCTGCCTGATTCCTGATCTTTGAGTGTGACCTTGCCAAGGCTACCACTGAATACACCAGTCCACTGAGGGTGTTACTGGCCACCTTAAACACCAGTTGGCGACCTTGTGATTAACCGTAGAGCCCTATTGTTGGGGAGGGCACACGACAGTCGATGTGAACGAGTCGTGTTCTCACTCTTTCTTAATAGGAGGCCGTTAAGATTGACTGGGAGACTCTCCTGGCGTGCAGTGGCGCCGTGAGGATCGAGGGAAGACCCGCAGGGCTACGGTGAGTTACCTTGAGCATAACTATTGCTCACCCCAGAGTAAGGGTAGAGAATAATAGAGAGGTGAAACCCCCAACAATATTTATATATATATATATATATATATATATATATATATATATATATATATATATATATATATATATATATATATTTTTTTTTTTTTTTAATATAGAAGGGAGTACCACCTCTAGCTGGAAGAAGGGAGACCCATAGCCTCGGAGGAAACCTCGCATAACGCATTAGAGGGAATGTTTAGATTCCCTCCAATACAGTTTCTGTGTGCTTTTCTCCTACCACCCCCTATATATATATATATATATATATATATATATATTATATATATATATATATTTATATATATATATATATATATATATATATATATATATATATATATGTCGTACCTAGTAGCCAGAACGCACTTCTCAGCCTACTATGCAAGGCCCAATTTGCCTAATAAGCCATGTTTTCATGAATTAATTGTTTTTCAACTACCTGACCTACCTAACCTAACCTAACCTAACGTTTTAGGCTACCTAACCGAACCTAACCTATGGAGATAGGTTAGGTTAGGTTAGGTAGGGTTGGTTAGGTTCGGTCATATATCTACGTTAAATTTAACTCCAATAAAATTTTTTTTTATCTCATACATAATGAAATGGGTAGCTTTATCATTTCATAAGAAAAAAATTAAAGAAAATATATTAATTCAGGAAAACTTGGCTTATTAGGCAAATTGGGCCTTGCATAGTAGGCTGAGAAGTGCGTTCTGGCTACTAGGTACGACATATATATATATATATATATATATATATATGTCATACCTAGTAGCCAGAACGCACTTCTCAGCCGACTATGCAAGGCCCGATTTGCCTAATAAGCCAAGTTTTCCTGAAATAATATATTTTCTCTAATTTTTTTCTTATGAAATGATAAATCTACCCATTTCATTATGCATGAGGTCATTTTTTTTTTGAGTTAAAATTAACGTAGTTATATGACCGAACCTAACCAACCCTACCTAACCTAACCTAACCTATCTTCATAGGTTAGGTTAGGTTAGGTAGCCGAAAAAAGTTAGGTTAGGTTAGGTAGTCGAAAAAACATTAATTCATAAAAACTTGGCTTATTAGGCAAATCGGGCCTTGCATAGTAGGCTGAGAAGTAATATATATATATATATATATATATATATATATATATATATATATATATATATATATATATATATATATATATATATACATATATATAACTTGCCTAAACACCGCAAAAGAGATTATACAACCTTAGAACACTTTCCCACCAGGAGATTCGAACCCTAGCCAGCACAGAAGCCTTACAGCAACTGGCATAACTGGTAAGCCTTTAACCCACTATACCACAGCTCAGACCCTTAAAAGAGATGGTAATTTCAGAGTATTTCACCTCCTACACCTGTGGTGTAGTGGGTTAAAGGCTTACCAGTTATGCCAGTTGCTGTAAGGCTTCTGTGCTGGCTAGGGTTCGAATCTCCTTGTGGGAAAGTGTTCTAAGGTTATATATATATATATATATATATATATATATATATATATATATATATATATATATATATATATATATATATATATATATATATGCGAACAAGCCTGAATGGTCCCCAGGACTATATGCGAATGAAAACTCACACCCCAGAAGTGACTCGAACCCATACTCCCAGAAGCAACGCAACTGGTAACTACAGGGCGCCTTAATCATCGCCTTAATCCTTGATTAAGGCGCCCTGTAGTTACCAGTTGCATTGCTTCTGGGAGTATGGGTTTGAGTCACTTCTGGGGTGTGAGTTTTCATTCATATATATATATATATATATATATTTATATTTATATTTATGATCGATGTTCCCTTCGGGAATCTTAATTTTAAGATAAATAGGAAAACCAGGGATATACTGAACATCTTGTTTCAGAATCTTTACTTTAAAATGCATAACGTTTCAAATACTTCTCGTATTCATCATCAGATCTAAAAGAAAAAACAGAAATCACAATCAAATAGCTGGTAAACAAAGAACTTATACTGAATATAATTGCCTATCAAAGAAAGGAAAATGCTTAAAAAACAAAACACTTAAGCGCACTTAAAGTGATCAGTACAAATAAAACTTATTAACCGTCACATATATTAAAACTAATTTAAAATCCATTAAATTACAAGATGAAATTTATAACTACTAAAACAAACCATTCTATTAAACTTACGTGAAGTCATCAGAAGTGAAATTTGATACCTAACACGTAGATACTAAACGCTAAAACAAATATTTATATAATGACTACAAATCTACAAAAAATGTATGTAAAATACAAACAGAATAAACGACAATTATAAAGTACTAACCAAAATCTTATAAAAACTCAAATATTAAATAAAATTAAATACCAAAAAATGTATTATATATCCTAAATAAAAGATTATATTAATGTACAATGTCAAGACTTGAAATAAGTAAGAAAGGGCAAAGACATGGTAAACTAAACAAAAAATTAAACTACCAAAATGAACTAAAAATCAAATTACAGGGCCTACTGTGCACTAAACAGTGTACAATTGAACAGCTGAAAGGTTGCTATTTAACAGAGGCCGCCGCTCCTTTATATATAAGGATTCCATTACTCTCAAATCTGACTGGCCATTCATACAAGTGTCCAGAA